CTAAACAACAACTATGCTTTTGGGGGGGGGGGCGGCAGTGGTGTCTGTATAGTTGTAGGAAGTTCCAAACAAGGTGGGCTATTTGCCAGATCAGTGGTGTCAAGTCTGTAAATTTAAAGCTTCCAAATATTTGATGAATCCCTTTGGTATGGCTCTAAGATTTCTGATTACTATTAGTATTATAATGGACTTTTTCTTCCAAAGTCTTTCAACTTCAGTTTGCAAACCTCTATATTTTATTACTGTTTCCATCTGTTTTTCATCAATTCAATGGTCTCCTAGTAGTTCTACATCTATGAACCACACTTTTTTTCCCAATGATAATAAAGTTTGGTGAGTTGTGCTTCAGGTGTCTGTCAGTTTTCATTTTAAAATCCCACAAGATCTTGACTTCTTTCATTTTCTAAGACTTTGCAGCTGTCTGATCCTCTTAGTAGTTTTTGTTAACAGTAAAGCCAATTTTTTGGATATAAATTCCTCATTACAATTTTTACTTCAATTTTAAGCAATAGCATTGCTTAGACTCAGTTTGGGCAACTTTGCTACAGCCATTAATGAGGTGATCTACAATTTCAGCTTTGATCTTACATAGTCAGCTATCATTTGAAATGTGTTCAGTTTTGGCTTTGATGATGTTTGTTTGCACAGCCTGTTCCTGTGCTGCCACAATTATTCCTTCAGTTTCCTTTTTAAGAATTTAAGTTTTCAGCTACTGCCAAGTCAGATTTTAATCTGATTTTCCTTTAATGTCATATATATATTGAGCATGAAGAAGTTTAGATTTCCAGGCATTCATTTGGCTTTCAGATGCGTCCTTTTTGAAATCTTTTTTTACATTTCATAGTCTTCAGTAGTGTTTTTTTACAAACTTCTACCAGAAGTGGTTTCTAACTGTGCCTGACACAGTATAATCATTCAAGCTGTATTTTCTTCTTCCTCTGTTTGCTTTAGTTAGAGTAATCCCTAGAGTAATTCCTTTGCTCTAGCAAAGTAGAGCCTGCCAACATCACTTCTTGAGTGGAAAGCATGATTCATGGTCATTAATTTTCTTGTTTTCCTATCAAGTATGTCTAATTCAGCTTGAGTCCAATCAGTTATACCCACAGTATTCTGAATAATTGGATCAGCCAAGTGGCTTTAATTATGTTATTTTTTTTGCAAAAAATTTGCATTCATTTTATATAATTAGAACTAGCATTCTATTTATTGTAACTTGCTGGTGTAGTAGGTAAGAAGCTTCCATTCTTTTGGCAACACATTGTGTCTTCTTCTTCTTCTTCTTCTTCTTCTTCTTCTTCTTCTTCTTCTTCTTCTTCTTCTTCT